CTCACAGGGTGAGTATGAGATCCACAATATATGAGCCAAACAGACTTACTATTAACAAGCAGTAACGTTATACATATAAAATGCATCTAAGATTACCTTTCTACAGTGAGAAAATAACCAAAAGTGTAGAGAGGAGAGTGTCCCCTACCCCTCCTGTATTGTTGTGGAAAAAGCCTAGCCAAAATATTCGTCAGTCTAACCTCAGCCGCGAGCATTGTGCCAGGGAGCAGTCGCATTGAAAACATCCCGCAGTTTTATTCCCGTATAGCTTTACAAAATAAACATTTCCATGGCGCATCATCGTGTGTTTTTTTTTCTTCTTTTTTTGTTAGCACTGAGGGAGCCTTTTGTCTAGACTTGCTGAATATGTTTGTCAGACAACATTACGTGCCGGGAAAATGATCCCTGGGCGAGCTGGCGATGTCTTCCTGGCGGCCTCAGCCTGTAGCCTGGTCCTCTGTGGGGCGGGTCTCCTCCTCCCTCCTCCCTTCCCCAGTTCTCTTAACCTCAGAAGATATTATGAACCTCATTCCCCCTCCTGTCAGCGGTGGTGGGCCCCATACTCATCCTGTGAGCGGTGATGGGCCCCATACTCATCCTGTGAGCGGTGATGGGCCCCATACTCATCCTGTGAGCGGTGGTGGGCCCCATACTCATCCTGTAAGCGGTGGTGGGCCCCATACTCATCCTGTGAGCGGTGGTGGGCCCCATACTCATCCTGTCAGCGGTGGTGGGCCCCATACTCATCCTGCCAGCGGTGGTGGGCCCCATACTCATCCTGTCAGCGGTGGTGGACCCCCATACTCATCCTGTGAGTGGTGGTGGGCGCCATACTCATTCTGTCAGCGGTGGTGGACCCCCATACTCATCCTGTGAGTGGTGGTGGGCCCCATACTCATCCTGTGAGCGGTGGTGGACCCCATACTCATCCTGTGAGCGACGGTGGGCCCCATACTCATCCTGTCAGCGGTGGTGGGGCCCCATACTCATCCTGTCAGCGGTGGTGGACCCCATACTCAGCCTGTGAGCGATGGTGGACCCCATACGCATCCTGTCAGCGGTGGTGGGACCCCATACTCATCCTGTCAGCGGTGGTGGGCCCCATACTCATCCTGTCAGCGGTGGTGGACCCCATACTCATCCTGCCAGCGGTGGTGGGCCCCATACTCATCCTGTCAGCGGTGGTGGGGCCCCATACTCATCCTGTCAGCGGTGGTGGGGCCCCATACTCATCCTGTCAGCGGTGGTGGGCCCGATACTCATCCTGTGAGCGGTGGTGGGCCCCATACTCATCCTGTGAGCGGTGGTGGGCTCCATACTCATCCTGTGAGCGGTGGTGGGCCCGATACTCATCCTGTGAGCGGTGGTGGGCCCCATACTCATCCTGTGAGCGGTGATGGGCCCCATACTCATCCTGTGAGCGGTGGTGGGCCCCATACTCATCCTGTGAGCGGTGGTGGGCCCCATACTCATCCTGTAAGCGGTGGTGGGCCCCATACTCATCCTGTGAGCGGTGGTGGGCCCCATACTCATCCTGTCAGCGGTGGTGGGCCCCATACTCATCCTGCCAGCGGTGGTGGGCCCCATACTCATCCTGTCAGCGGTGGTGGACCCCCATACTCATCCTGTGAGTGGTGGTGGGCCCCATACTCATCCTGTGAGCGGTGGTGGACCCCATACTCATCCTGTGAGCGACGGTGGGCCCCATACTCATCCTGTCAGCGGTGGTGGGGCCCCATACTCATCCTGTCAGCGGTGGTGGACCCCATACTCAGCCTGTGAGCGATGGTGGACCCCATACGCATCCTGTCAGCGGTGGTGGGGCCCCATACTCATCCTGTCAGCGGTGGTGGACCCCATACTCATCCTGTCAGCGGTGGTGGACCCCATACTCATCCTGCCAGCGGTGGTGGCCCCCATACTCATCCTGTCAGCGGTGGTGGGGCCCCATACTCATCCTGTCAGCGGTGGTGGGCCCCATACTCATCCTGTCAGCGGTGGTGGGGCCCCATACTCATCCTGCCAGCGGTGGTGGGCCCCATACTCATCCTGTCAGCGGTGGTGGACCCCATACTCACCCTGTCAGCGGTGGTGGGCCCCCACACGTAATCTTTTGAGCGGTTGTGGGCCGCCCACACCACCGTTGGGTGGGGATAAATGTTATGAGCACACATGGACTCAGGAACTGAAGTCCAATAAACTCGTCTAGCTGAGCCTAGTTAAAGCATTGATGAATTATCTAGTTTCTTAAACTATTCATGGAGGCATGTGTTGAGTAGGTCACGCAGGGCAAATGTCAGCAGGAGTATAGAGGTAGGCAGGTGGTGTTTTTTTTCCCCCTGGCTCTTGTGCCACTATCTGTACACCTTTAACCTGCTGCATGTGGCCTACAGCCCACCCCGAGGCCCCACCACAGTCTTGGACATTAGAAGGAACTTTTTCAGTGTAAATGGAATGCACTAGGAAGTGATGTGGTCGAGGCTGACTCCATACACAGCTGAGAAGCTCAGGAATCTGTACACCAGTATATTGACGGTTGAGAGGCGGGACCAGAGTCAAAGCTCAACCCCCGCAAGCACTACTAGGTGAGTACAGTCTCAGACTGTCCTTGGCGTCACAACTAACTTGGGGCGCTAGTTGTGATCGCTGCTCCCATTAATTACAATACCTCCCAGGACCACTAAGACGGCGGCATTTCTCGAAAATCATTCGAATGCGAACATTTTTCGATCGATGTCCTTCTGTCGATATCTAAGGGTCACAGATTCTCCAATGAATATGTTTTGCATTTATTATTTTTTTCATGTAATAAATGTCCTTAAGATTAGGGTAAAGATCCAAACATTCACAAGAAAGCAGAACTTCTTGAGTAAAGTATTCAATAAGGGTTTCTGTTCGGGAGACTAAGAAACAATTGCACCTTACTGGTTATAGAAGTCCTTATTTTTCCTCCGCTTTGGAGAGATTTTCACGCGTTTTTTGTTCGAGTTGGGTCGACTTGAAGATTTTTCACGAAGTTTAGGGAAAAGTTTGGATACTAGGCGCTCCCATGAAAAGAAATGAAACATTCTTTTAATTTCATTAAACACGACATCAGACGTATAGCCTTTAAAAATCATAACATTACATAAATTTGTATATTTCAGAAAGTCAAAATTTACAAGCATCAAGACGACCAGCCACTGAAACATGGGTTTCCAGTCTCAAAATTATATGACTTGTTGTCACTATTACTTTGATTTCAATTGCGTCATATGCACATTAAATAACTACACATATCAAAATTTCCTACATAATCTAGTATACCTAAATATTAGAAATTCACCAAGCTACGTTGAGTATTAAGAAACTTATGGAAGATCAAACAATTTTGTGCATCTATTTTTATGCACGCTTGGCAACGCCGCGGGGAGGTAAAAGGAACAGCTCAGAATGGGTGAGTTTATTGTAGAAATTTAGGTGCTTCGGACGCGAATCAATAAGCCAAGAAAGCTGTATTTAATCAGAGCCAGAGGCTTTCAATAAATCCATCATATACTTGTACATAACAACATAAGTTTATTTCCAGAATTGGAACGCATGTAATCCAACAGAGTAAATGAGAAGTGTGAGGTCGCTAACATTGGTATTCGCGAAGCTTGGAGAAGTGTACAGCCATATTGATCGGGGGAGGCGAGAGAGAGCCAGCGAGTAGCGGCAGCGCTGCGGTGGTGTGTAGGTCGACCGCCGCGGCTCCTGCTGCTGCTACTCCTACTGCTCTTCCTCCTATTATTCCTCCTAATGTTCCCGATCTGTTACTTACAAGAATGCCCTCCACTGCGCTCCTTGACGCCGTGCTGGCAGCCATCACTATATAGCTACCAAGCCGGTTAATTTTTGAGTGTGGGGTCGCTTGGTTGGCCATGCTGGCCATGTCACCCCCACTCTCACAACCCTCCCATCACCTGTACTTTAAATGTTGCTCTCCTTATCCCCCTCTCTCTCTCTCTCTCCCTCACCCCCCCCCCACTCTCTCTCTCTCTACTCTCCTTTAACATATTTACTCTTCATAATCTGGCCGTTTATCTCTCCTTGCCTTCCCCCCGTCAACTGGGGGCGTGTGAGCGCGGTGTAGGGCGCCTTGCTAACCCTTCTTGGTATTCACAAGTGTCTTGGTTCCTCCCTGCTCCCGTGTCTTCCCGCTCGTGCCTCCACACGCCTCCCGTGTCTTCCCGCCCGTGCCTCCACACGCCTCTCGTGTCTTCCCGCCTGTCTCCACACGCCTCCCAGGTCTTCCCGCCCGTGCCTCCACATGCCTCTCGCGTCTTCCCGCCTGTCTCCATACGTCTCCCAGGTCTTCCCGCCCGTGTCTCCACACGCCTCTCAGGTCTTCCCGCCTGTGCCCTCACACGCCTAACGCGTCTTCCCGCCCGGGCCTCCACACGCCTCCCGTATCTTCCCGCCCGTGCCTCCACACGCCTCCCGTGTTCCCGCCAGTGCTTCCACACGCCTCCCATGTCTTCCCGCCCGTGCTTCCACACGCCTCCCATGTCTTTACGCCCGTGCCTCCACACGCCTCCCATGTCTTCCCGCCCGTGCCTCCACATGCCTCCCATGTCTCCCCACCCGTGCCTAAACACACCTCCCATGTCTTCCCGCCAGTGCTTCCACACGCCTCCCATGTCTTCCCGCCCGTGCCTAAACACGCCTCCCGTGTCTTCCCGCCCGTGCCTCCACACGCCTCCCGTGTCTTCCCGCCCGTGCCTCCAGACGTCTCCCGTGTCTTCCTGCCCGTGCCTCCACACGCCTGTGTCTTCCCGCCCGTGCCTTCATACGCCTCCCATATCTTCCCGCCCGTGCCCCCACACGCCTAACGTATCTACCCGCCCGGGCCCCCACACGCCTCCCATGTCTTCCCGCCCGTGTCTCCACACGCCTCCCATGTCTTCCCGCCCGTTCCTCCACACTTCTCCCATGTCATCCAACCCGTGCCTCCACACGCCTCCCGTGTCTTCCCGCCCATGACTCCACACGCCTCTCATGTCTTCCCGCCCGCGCCTCCACACGCCTCCCATGTCTTCCCGCCTGTGCCTCCACACGCCTCCCATGTCTTCCCACCCAGGCCTCCACACGCCTCCTATGTCTTCCCGCCCGTGCTTCCACACGCCACCCATGTCTTCCCGCTCGTGCCTCCACATGCCTCCCATGTCTCCCCACCCGTGCCTAAACACACCTCCCATGTCTTCCCGCCAGTGCTTCCACACGCCTCCCATGTCTTCCCGCCCGTGCCTAAACACGCCTCCCGTGTCTTCCCGCCCGTGCCTCCAGACGTCTCCCGTGTCTTCCCGCCCATGACTCCACACGCCTCTCATGTCTTCCCGCCCGCGCCTTCACACGCCTCCCATGTCTTCCCGCCTGTGCCTCCACACGCCTCCCATGTCTTCCCACCCAGGCCTCCACACGCCTCCTATGTCTTCCCACCCATGCCTCTACACGCCTCTCGTGTCTTCCCGCCCGTGTCTCCACACGCCTCCCATGTCTTCACGCCCGTGCTTTCACACGCCTCCCATGTCTTCCCGCCCGTGCCTCCACACGCCTCCAACGTCTTCCAGCTCGGGCCTCCACACGCCTCCCATGTCTTCCCGCCCGTGCCTCCACACGCCTCCCTTGTCTTCCCGTCCGTGCCTCCACACGCCTCCCATATCTTCCCGCCCGTGTCTCTACACGCCTCCCATGTCTTCACGCCCGTGCGTTCACACGCCTCCCATGTCTTCCCGCCCGTGCCTCCACACGCCTCCCACGTCTTCCAGCCCGGGCCTCCACACGCCTCCTATGTCTTCCCGCCCGTGCCTCCACACGCCTCCCATGTTTTCCCGTTCGTGCCTCCACACGCCTCCCATGTCTTCCCGCCCTTGCCTAAGTACGCCTCCCGTCTTCCCTCCCGTGCCTCCACACGCCTCCCATGTCTTCCCGCCCGTGCCTCCACACGCCTCCCATGTCTTCCCGCCCGTGCGTCTACACGCCTCCCCATGTCTTTTCGCCCGTGCCTCCACACGCCTCCCGTGTCTTCCCGCCGGGCCTCCACACGCCTCACGTTTCTTCCCGCCTGTGCCTAAACACCCCTCCTGTGTCTTCCCACCCGTGTCTTCACGCCTCCCGTGTCTTCCCGCCCGTGCCTCCATATACCTCCCATGTCTTCCCGCCTGTGCCTCCACTCGCCTCTCATGTCTTCTCGCCCGGGCCACCACACGCCTTCCATGTCTTCCCGCCCATGCCTCCACACGCCTCACGTGTCTTCCCGCACGTGCCTCAACACGCCTCCCATGTTTTCCCGCCCGTGCCTCTACACGCCTCCCGTGTTTCCTCACGCCTCCCAGGTCTTCCCGCCCGTGCCTCCACACGCCTCCCGTGTCTTCCCGCCCGTGCTTCCACAAGCTTCCCGTGTCTTCCCGCCCGTGCCTCCACACGCCTCCCGTGTCTTCCCGCCAGCGCCTCCACAAGCCTCCCATGTCTTCACGCCCGTGCCTCCACACACCTCCCCGTGTCTTCCCGCCTGCGCCTCCATACGCCTCCCGTGTCTTTACGCCCGTGCCTCCACACGCCTCCCATGTCATCCCACCCGCGCCTCCACACACCTCCCGTGTCTTCCCGCCCGTGCCTCTACACGCCTCCCGTGTCTTCCCACCTGTGTCTCCACACGCCTAGTCCCATGTCTTTCCGCCCACGCCTCCACAAGCCTCCCATGTTTTCACGCCCGTGCCTCCACACGCCTCCCGTGTCTTCCCGCCCGTGCCTCCACACGCCTCCTGTATCTTCCCGCCCACGCCTTCACAATCTTTCCATATCTTCACGACCGTGCCTTCACACATCTCCCATGTCATCCCGCCTGTGCCTCCACACACCTCCCGTGTCTTCCTGCCCGTGCCTTCACACGCCTCCTATGTCTTCCCGCCCGAGCCTCCACACGCCTCCCGTGTCTTCCCGCCCGTACCTCTACACGCCTCCCGTGTCTTCCCGCCCGTGCCTCCACATGCCTCCCATGTCTTCCCGCCCGTGCCTCCACACGCCTCCTGTGTCTTCAAGCCCACGCCTACACAAGCCTCCCATGTCTTCACGCCCGTGCCTCCACACGCCTCACATGTCTTCCCGCCCACGCTTCCACAAGCCTCCCATGTCTTCACGCCCGTGCCTCCACACGCCTCCCGTGTCTTCCCGCCCGCGCCTCCACAAGCCTCCCATGTCTTCACGCCCGTGCCTCCACACACCTCCCGTGTCTTCCCGCCCGCGCCTCCCGTGTCTTTAGGCCCGTGCCTCCACACACCTCCCATGTCATCCGACCCGCGCCTCCACACACCTCCCATGTCTTCCCGCCCGTGCACCCACACGCCTAACGTGTCTTCCCGCCCGTGCCTCCACACGACTCCCATGTCTTCCTGCCCGTGCCTCCACACGCCTTCCGTGGCTTCCCGCCCGTGCCTAAGCACGCCTCTCATGTCTTCCCGGCCGTGCCTCCACACGCTTCCCATGTCTTCCCGCCCGTGCCTCAACACGCTTCCCATATCTTCTCGCCCCGGCCATCACACGCCTTCCATGTCTTCCCGCCCGTGCACCCACACGCCTAACGTGTCTTCCCACACGTGCCTCAACACGCCTCCCATGTTTTCCCGCCCGTGCCTCTACACGCCTCTCAGGTCTTCCCGCCCGCTTCTCCACACGCCTCCCGTGTCTTCCCGCCCGTGCCTCCACACGACTCCCATGTCTTCCTGCCCGTGCCTCCACACGCCTTCCATGGCTTCCCGCCCGTGCCTAAGCACGCCTCCCGTGTCTTCCCGCCCGTGCCTTTGTATGCTTCCCGTGTCTTCCCGCCCGTGCCCCACACGCCTTTCGTGTCTGTCCGTCCGTGCTTCCACACGCGTCCCGTGTCTTCCCGCCCGGGCCTCCACACGCCTCCCATGTCTTCCCGGTCATGTCTCCACACGCCTCCCATGTCTTCCCGCCCGCTTCTCCACACGCCTCCCGTGTCTTCCCGCCCGTGCCCTCACACGACTCCCATGTCTTCCTGCCCGTGCCTCCACACGACTCCCAGGTCTTCCCGCCCGTGCCTAAACACGCCTCCTGTGTTTTCCCACCCGTCCTTCCACACGCCTCCCATGTCTTCCCGCCCGTGGCTAAACACGCCTCCCGTGTCATCCCGCCCGTGCCTACAGACGGCTCCCATGTCTTCCCGCCCGGGCCTCCACACGGCTTACATGTCTTCCCGCACGTGCCTCCACAAGCCTTTCATGTCTTCATGCCCGTGCCTCCACACGCCTCACATGTCTTCCAGCCCACGCCTACACACAAGCCTCCCATGTCTTCAAGCCCGTGCCTCCACACGCCTCACATGTCTTCCAGCCCACGCCTACACACAAGCCTCCCACGTCTTCATGCCCGTGCCTCTATACGCCTCCCGTGTCTTCCCGAACGTGCCTCTACACGCCTCCTGTGTCTTCCCGCCCGCGCCTCCACACGCCTCCTGTATCTTCCCACCCACGCCTTCACAAGCTTCCTATATCTTCACGCCCGTGCCTTCACACACCTCCCATGTCATCCCGCCTGCGTCTCCACACACCTCCCGTGTCTTCCCGCCCGTGCCTCTACACGCCTCCCATGTCATCCCACCTGCGCCTCCATACACCTCCCGTGCCTCCACACGCCTCCCTTGTCCTCCCGCCCGTGCCTCCACACGCCTCCCGTGTCTTCCCGCCCGTCCCTCTACACGCCTCCCGTGTTTTCCCGCCCGTGCCTTCCATGTCTTCCCGCCCGTGCTTCCACACGCCTCCAATGTCTTCCCGCCCGTGCCTACACCCGCCTCCCATGTCTTTCCGCCCGCGCCTCCACACACCTCCCGTGTCTTCCCGCCCGTGCCTCCAAACGCCTCCCATGTCTTCCCGCCTGTGCCTCCACACACCTCCCATGTCTTCCCGCCCGTGCCTCCACATGCCTCCCATGTCTTTCCGGTCATGCCTCCACACGCCTCCCATGTCTTCCCGCCCGTGCCTCCACACGCCTCCCGTGTCTTCCCGCCCGTACCTCCACACGCCTCCTGTTTCTTCTCGCCCGTGCCTCCACACGCCTCCCGTGTCTTCCCGCCCGTACCTCCTCACGCCTCCCGTGTCTTCCCGCCCGTGCCTCCACACACCTCCCATGTTCCCGGACGCCGCTCGTACCTTCACCCGATGCCTCGACATGCTCCCGATGCCTCGACATTCTCCCGATGCCTCGACATTCTCCCGATGCCTCGACATGCTCCCGATGCCTCGACATGCTCCCGATGCCTCGACATGCTCCCGATGCCTCGACATGCTCCCGATGCCTCGACATTCTCCCGATGCCTCGACATGCTCCCGATGCCTCGACATGCTCCCGATGCCTCGACATTCTCCCGATGCTTCTACATGCTCCCGATGCATCGACATGCTCCCGATGCCTCGACATGCTCCCGATGCCTTGACATGCCACCCATGAATCGACATGCTCCCGATGCCTCGACATGCACCCGATGCCTCGACATGCTCCCGATGCGTCGACATGCTCCCGATGCCTCAACGTTCTCCTGATGCCTGGACATGCTCCCGATGCCTTGACACATTCCCGATGCCTTGACATGCTCCCGATGTCTCGACATGCTCCCGATGCCTCGACATGCTCCCGATGCCTCGACATGTTCCCCATGTCTCGACATGCTCCCGATGCCTCGACATTCTCCTGATGCCTCGACATTCTCCTGATGCCTCGACATGCTCTCGATGCCTCGACATGCTCCTGATGCCTCGACATGCTCCCGATGACTTTACATGCTCCCGATGCTTGACATGCTCCCGATGTCTCGACATTCTCCTGATGCCTCGACATGCTCCCGATGCCTCGACATTCTCCCGATGCCTCGACATGCCACTCATGCTTCGGCTTGCTCCCTATGCATCAACACGCTCCTGCTGCCTCGACATGCCACCCATGGCTCGACATGCTCTCGATGTTTCGACATGCTCCTGATATGTCAACATGGTCCCGATGTCTTAACATGCTCCTGATGTCTCGATATGCTCCTGATGTCTCGACATGCTCCCGATGTATCGACATGCTCCCGATGTCTCGATATGCTCCTGATGTTTCGATATGCTCCTGATGTCTCGACATGCTCCTGATGTCTCGACATGATCCCGATGTCTGGATATGCTCCTGATGTCTTGATATGCTCATGAAGTCTCGACATGCTCCTGATGTCTCGACATGCAACCTATGTCTCCACATGCTCCCGATGCTTCGACATGCTCCCGATGCCTCGACATACTTCCGATGTCTCGACATGCTCCTGATGCCTCGACATGCTCCCGATGCCTCGACATGCAGCCGATGTTTCGACATGCTCCCAATGCCTCGACATGCTCCCGATTCCTCGACATGCTTCCGATGCCTCGACATGTTCTCATGTCTCGACATGCAAATATGTCTCGACATGACACCCATGCCTCGACATACTCCCGATGCCTCGATATGTCACCCATGCCTCGACATGACACCCATGCCTCGACATGCTTCTGATGCCTCAACATACTCCCGATGCCTCGATATGTCACCCATGCCTCGACATGCTTCTGATGCCTCGATATGCTCCCGATGCCTGGATGTCACCCATGCCTCGACATGCTCCCGATGTCTCGACATGTTCCCGATGCCTCAACAAGCTCCCATTGCCTCGACATGCTCCCGATGTCTCGACATACTCCTGATGCCTCAAGATGCTCCCGTTGCCTCAACATGCTCCCGTTGCCTCAAGATGCTCCCGATGTCTCGCCATGCTCTGATGCCTCGACATGCTCCTGATGTCTCGACACGTTCCTGATGTCTCGCCATGCTCCTGATGTCTCGACATGCTTAGATGTATCGACATGGTCCCAATATCTCGACATGCTCCCGATGTCTGGACATGCTCCCGATGTCTCGACATGCTCCCGATGTCTCGACATGCCCCCGATGTCTCGACATGCTCCCGATGTCTCGACATACTCCCGATGTCACGACATGATCCCGATGTCCCGACATGCTCTGATGTCTCGACTTGCTCCCGATGTCTCGACATGCTCTCCGATATCTCGACATGCTCCGATGTATCGACATGCTCCCGATATCTCGACATGCTCCCGATGTCTCGACATGCTCTGATGCCTCGACATGCAAATATGTCTCGACATGACACCCATGCCTCGTCATGCTTCTGATGCCTCGACATGCTTCCGATGCCTCGACATGCTTCTAATTGCCTCGACATGACACCCATGCCTCAACATGCTCCCGATGTCTCGACATGACCCCGATACCTCGAAATGCTCCCATTGCCTCGACATGCTCCCGATGCCTCAACATGCTCCCAATGCCTCGATATTCTCCTGTCTCCTCAATATGCTCCCGATGTCACGACATGTTCTCAATACATCGAAATGCTCCCGATATCTCGACATGCTCCCGATGCCTCGACATGCTCCCGATGCCTCAACGTTCTCCTGATGCCTGGACATGCTCCCGATGCCTCGGCATGCTCCCGATGCTTTGACATGCTCCCGATGCCTTGACATGCTCCTGATGCCTCGACATGCTCCCGATGCCTCGACATGCTCCCGATGCCTCGACATGCTCCCGATGCCTCGACATGCTCCCGATGCCTCGACATGCTCCCGATGCCTCGACATGCTCCCGATGCCTCGACATGCTCCCGATGCCTCGACATTCTCCTGATGCTTGGACATGCTCCCGATGCCTTTACATGCTCCCGATGCTTGACATGCTCCCGATGTCTAGACATTATCCTGATGCCTCGACATGCTCCTGATGCCTCGACATTCTCCCGATGCCTCGACATGCCACTCATGCTTCGACTTGCTCCCTATGCATCAACACGCTCCTGCTGCCTCGACATGCCACCCATGGCTCGACATGCTCCTGATATGTCAACATGGTCCTGATGTCTCGACATGCTCCTGATGTATCGATATGCTCCTGATGTCTCGACATGCTCCCGATGTATCGACATGCTCCCGATGTCTCGATATACTCCTGATGTTTCGATATGCTCCTGATGTCTCGACATGCTCCCGATGTCTCGATATGCTCCTGATGTCTTGATATGCTCATGAAGTTTCGACATGCTCCCGATGCCTCGACACGCAGCCGATGTTTCGACATGCTCCCAATGCCTCGACATGCACCCGATTCCTCGACATGCTCCCGATGCCTCGACGTGCTCCCGATGCCTCGACATGCTCCTGATTCTTGGACATGCTCCCGATGCCTTTACATGCTCCCGATGCTTGACATGCTCCCGATGTCTAGACATTCTCCTGATGCCTCGACATGCTCCCGATGCCTCGACATTCTCCCGATGCCTCGACATGCCACTCATGCTTCGACTTGCTCCCTATGCATCAACACGCTCCTGCTGCCTCGACATGCCACCCATGGCTCGACATGCTCCTGATATGTCAACATGGTCCCGATGTCTCGACATGCTCCTGATGTATCGATATGCTCCTGATGTCTCGACATGCTCCCGATGTATCGACATGCTCCCGATGTATCGATATGCTCCTGATGTTTCGATATGCTCCTGATGTCTCGACATGCTCCCGATGTCTCGATATGCTCCTGATGTCTTGATATGCTCATGAAGTTTCGACATGCTCCCGATGCCTCGACACGCAGCCGATGTTTCGACATGCTCCCAATGCCTCGACATGCACCCGATTCCTCGACATGCTCCCGATGCCTCGACATGCTCCCGATGCCTCGACATGCTCCTGATTCTTGGACATGCTCCCGATGCCTTTACATGCTCCCGATGCCTTTACATGCTCCCGATGCTTGACATGCTCCCGATGTCTAGACATTCTCCTGATGCCTCGACATGCTCCCGATGCCTCGACATTCTCCCGATGCCTCGACATGCCACTCATGCTTCGACTTGCTCCCTATGCATCAACACGCTCCTGCTGCCTCGACATGCCACCCATGGCTCGACATGCTCTCGATGTTTCGACATGCTCCTGATATGTCAACATGGTCCCGATGTCTCAACATGCTCCTGATGTATCGATATGCTCCTGATGTCTCGACATGCTCCCGATGTATCGACATGCTCCCGATGTCTCGATATGCTCCTGATGTTTCGATATGCTCCTGATGTCTCGACATGCTCCCGATGTCTCGATATGCTCCTGATGTCTTGATATGCTCATGAAGTTTCGACATGCTCCCGATGCCTCGACACGCAGCCGATGTTTCGACATGCTCCCAATGCTTCGACATGCTCCCGATTCCTCGACATGCTCCCGATGCCTCGACATGTTCTGATGTCTCGACATGACACCCATGCCTCGACATGCTTCTGATGCCTCGACATACTCCCGATGCCTCGATATGTCACCCATGCCTCGACATGACACCTATGCCTCGACATGCTTCTGATGCCTCAACATACTCCCGATGCCTCGATATGTCACCCATGCCTCGACATGCTTCTGATGCCTCGATATGCTCCCGATGCCTGGATATGTCACCCATGCCTCGACATGCTCCCGATGTCTCGACATGCTCCCGATGCCTCAACATGCTCCCGATGTCTCGACATGCTCCTGATGCCTCAACATGCTCCAGTTGCCTCAACATGCTCCAGTTGCCTCAAGATGCTCCCGATGTCTCGCCATGCTCTGATGTCTCGACATGCTCCCGATGTCTCGACATTCTCCTGATGCCTCGACATGCTCCCGATGCCTCGACATTCTCCCGATGCCTCGACATGCCACTCATGCTTCGACTTGCTCCCTATGCATCAACACGCTCCTGCTGCCTCGACATGCCACCCATGGCTCGACATGCTCTCGATGTTTCGACATGCTCCTGATATGTCAACATGCTCCCGATGCCTCAACATGCTCCCATTGCCTCGACATGCTCCCGATGTCTCGACATGCTTCTGATGCCTCAACATGCTCCAGTTGCCTCAACATGCTCCAGTTGCCTCAACAAGCTCCCGTTGCCTCAAGATGCTCCCGATGTCTCGCCATGCTCTGATGTCTCGACATGCTACCGATGTCTCGACATGTTCCTGATGTCTCGCCATGCTCCTGATGTCTCGACATGCTCAGATGTATCGACATGGTCCCAATATCTCGACATGCTTCCGATGTCTCGACATTTTCCCGATGTCTCGACATGCTCCCGATGTATCGACATGCTCCCGATGTATCGACATGCTCCCAATGTCTCGACATACTCCCGATGTCACGACATGATCCCGACACGTTTAACAAATTTGTTATCTTTTTATTCTAGCATTGTTGAGGCAGTTGATAGTGGTAAGGATTGCGATGTTGTGTACCTTGACTTTAGCAAAGCTTTTGATACAGTGCCACATGAAAGACTGATTAAAAAGTTAGAGTCTCATGGTATTGGGGGTGCTATATTAAGCTGGA